GTTTTCTAAGATAATCTAAAAAGACAGGATTAATCCAAGCCGTTCACATGTTTTGAGACAAACAGATCACTAATTTTTCATCAGATATCTTATGATAAAGGAAATTCGGTGTTTTTTGCTTAATGTAAGAAAACTATGCATAGTGATTAAAGAAAATAATTTCTTATGTAACAATTCTTATTTAACAAATGAATACATTGTTCTAAAAAGTAGTTCTTTATAAATTATCATTGAATTTTTCATACAACAGGCTATGTACCATGGTTAGAGTAGAAACAAGTAAGTTCCAGGATTTAATAAGAGTAACATTTATAGTGTGGGAAACATTTTTTAAAATGTTGTTTTATATTACCTTCCTACAGTAAAAATCTCTACCCAAGTTCTGGCTCTCTTTTGCTTATAGTGTATTTCTGAAAATTATGTTGTAACAGGGAATAAAATTAGATTTTTCTTTTAGTTTGAAAACTTTGTCTTATGGAACACCCACTTTCTGTGGTAAAATAATTTTTTAGAACAATGTTTAATTGATTGAGGAAAAAGAACCGGCCTCTGAGAGATGCTGTGTGTAGCTGTGCGTGCCAGGACTCTGTCCCGGGGACGTCAGTGGGGTATTGGGTCCCCTGAGAGGAAGGGGGTCTCTAGGCTCCGAGTGTGCTTTCCAGTCACCTGTCTGGTCCCGGGTGTGTTCAACACCACCAGTTTCTGTAAAATAGCCAGGAAATGTGTTATAACAAGTGTAGTTTTTGTGTGGGGGTAGTATTTCTGTCATCGGATCATTTAAAAAACTTATTTAGAGCCCTGGCTGGTGTAGCTCAGTGAATTGAGCACAGACCTGTGAAGCAAGGGGTCGCAGGTTTGATTCCCAGTCAGGGCACATCCAGGGCACAGGCCAGGTCCCCAGTGGGGGACATATGAAAGGCAACCACACATTGGTGTTTCTCTCCCTCTCCTTCTCCCTCTCTTCTCTTCTCTCTAAAAATAAATAAATAAAACCTTAAAAAAGAGTAAATAAATTAATTTAAAATTTTATCTAAAATTTTTTTATTTAGAAGATTTAGTAAGTTTATAGAGAATAATCACCATGCTGTTACTTATGATGCTCTTATTAGGATTTTATTGGATTTCTTGGGCCTGTGAGTTTATACTTTTTCAATCAAAATTGGAAAAGTTTTGGCTGCCATTTCTGCAGAGTTTTTATTTGACCCTATAGCTGTCTCCCCCCCCCGGGGCTCTGGCTACACACGTGTCAGGCCACGCAGCCCTGTCTCCTCGGGTCGCTGACCACGGCCCTTTCCCACCGCGTCCTCTCAGTGCTTTAGCACACTCCGTTCTGTGCCCTGTTGCAGAGTTCCCAGATCTTCTGCCTTCTCTGCTGTTAAGCCTGTAGAGTGCATTTTTAATTTCAGAAATAATATTTTTTTAGTTCTAAAATTCTTTTTGGTTTTTTAAGGTTTTATTTCTCATTGAGCTTGTGTTTCATTTAACTCCTTAACCATACTCTTCACAGCTTTACTGCAGATAATTTCAAATTGTTTCCGATCTGGTTCTACCAATACTCCTGTTAGCAGTGTCAGAGAATCTCTGCTGGTCCGTGTTTTCAGCACGTGTTCCCAAAGGTTTTAGTGTCTCCACTGCAGAGGTGTGCAGGGTGCCTCCTGCGGTTCTGATTTGCTCCTCCCCAGTTCTCCAGGGCGTGGAGTGCCTGTCGGCATGTTAACCGGCCATCTGGACTCCCTTTTTGTGAAGGGTTTTTCCCTATTTTTCTATTGGATAGTCTGTTTACTATTGATCTGCAGGAATTACTTATAATTATGCATGGTAATGCTTTGTGGTTTACATTTGCTAATAGCTTGTTCGTGTCTTTTCACTTTGTAATTGTGTCTTTTGATGAAGAGAAATTTTAATCTTTGATATGGCCCAATTTATCAGTATTTTTTATTGTGATTCAATAATTTTAGTTACTAATTTTTAGAAGTCATTCTCTGTTTGTTCTGCTGTGTTACCTTCCAAAAGACTGTATAGTTTTGTCTACCTGGAACTGATTTTTGTGCATGATGTGAAGGTTAAAGACACTGTTTCACTGTTTTCACATCTAAGTCCAATTACCCAGCATCGTCATTGACAAGCCTTCTTGGGCAGAAACGGTGTGTTTCTCTGAGCCTCTGGTCTCCCCACGGGCCTCCCCGTCCACCGCTGTGCACGTCCACACTTTGCACGCTCTGACCTTCTGTCTGAAGTACAAGATGTTTGGGTAGTTTTGGGCCCTTTGCATTTTATAAATTTTAGAATTAGCTGGTTAAGTTGGGATCTTGTTTGGTCTGGAAAGAACTGACATACAGGTAATACTGAGTTCATCACAGTTTATCATTTTCTCCAGGGGTTTGATGAGTCGTTTATTATATTTATTCCTCAGTGCCTCTTATTTTGTAATGACATTTCTAAAAGATATTTTAAAAATTTGCTTGGATTTCTTCTTCTAATTACTTGTTGCTATTAAATGGAAATACAGTTGAGTTTTGTATATTTTATACCCAGCAATCTTGTTAAACTCTTAATTTTAATAATTTACCTGTAATTATTTAAGCTTTTCTAGATGTGTGGTCATGTTTCCTATGAGTAGCAGGTTTTCTGGTTTTCTTTTCCATTCCTGTACTCTGGGTTTTTACTCTGTGATTTCCTTTTTGTTTTCTTTAGTTTTTGCTTTTTTGTGCTGACGAGTATTTCTAGTACAATATTGATTAGACATGGTAATAGAACGGGCTCCTTTGTCTTGTTCTAATAATAAGTAAAAGGACAGCTTTCACCATTTCACCACTAAACTTTGATAGGTCTTCTTTGTAGATGGCCTTTATCAGGTTCAAGAGGTTTCTTCCTATTATGGATTTGGTAAGAATTTTTCATCATGAATAGATGAATTTTATCAGATACTTTCCTGCAACTTTTACTGAGGTAACCATATGATTTTTCTCCTTTGTTAATGTGGTTAATTGTAATAATTTGCTAATGTATAAATCTCCTTAAATTTTGAGATAAGCACAATTTAGTCATAATGAGTTTTCCTTTACAGATATATAGTTGTATTTGGTTTGTTAATGTTTTGTTTAGGATTTTATTTCCATGTACACCACTTAATGTCTCACTTTGGGCAATTCTGTAAATCCTCTGTTCCTTGATTTCCTCATTTGTAAAATGGGGCAGTACTGGTGGCTGCCTTATAAGTTGCAAGATTAAATGATTTATTACAAGTAAAGTCCTAGGACAGTACGTGGCCCACAGTAAGCATGACGCAGTTGCGTGGTGGGCCACTCCCGTCCCTCAGTGACCTTGCTAGCTATGTCACGAGTTCAGGAAGCCTGTTTCTTTTCTGTTGATTAAAAGGACAAGAAGTCCGCAGTCCCACCGCTTGACCGCAGTGGGACTTCTTGTGAGTGAGATATAACTTTTGTTGTGAGCAGCCACTGAGATTTGGGAAGTTTTCTACTGTGGTTGGTAGTTATTTACCTTAAATCATAGGACTGTGCAGGCTTTCCATTTCTTCTTGAGTTAGTTTTCATAAGTTAGCATCTCTAGGAATTTGCTCAGTTGCTTAATTTTCAACTTTTTGCCATAACACTTAGTCTTTTAATAGCTTCAGCATTTGAAGTTGTGTCCCTGTGGCAGAAACGCGGGGGCAGTTGTGGCCCTTCAAGTAAGACCTGGCTATGCATGTAAGAGACGACCACCAGCTACTTGTGGCCTCAGGCTCTGCCTCGGCTTTCATCTGTGGGCCCAAGCCTGTGACCCAGCAGGTGGGGTACCAGGGCCTGGCCCTCCTGCCACGGGGACTGTCTCCAACAGACCATCTCTAGAGACCCTGCTGGGCTGGCAAGACTTTCTCAAGTCTGCCTCGTGGCCTGGAGGCCTCCCTTCTCCTGCACCCTCCCAATAACATGCTGACTGCTCAGCACCTGCTTCTCAGACCTGACTCCCCCGCCCTTGGTCGTCCCTCTCACTGGTTTTTGAACTTAGTCTCTTTGTTAATCCACCAGATGTTTGTCAAGTTGATCGGTCCTGTCAAAGAACCAGCCTTGTTCTTCATTTCCTTCTCTTTCATTTTCTGCTTTTCCCTTTCTGTTTTTAGCCATGCTGAAATTAATGATGTAATTGGCTTAAAAATATTTCATCAGTGTTTCCATTCTGTGTTTCTTTCTCTTGCTCTACCCTCTAATGGAATTGATGTATTTTAGTTGAAGTCTGCTGTATCATTTTGTGCTGCTCAACTCCTTCTGTCATTTTTTCACCGGCCGCTGTTGCTGTTTTAGATTTTGTATCATTTAGCATTTCACCTCTCCGAGGTTGGAAGCTGTGCACTGTTCCTGGTGTATTGCTGTTTCATGTTAATGTTTACTCAATCAGCCCTTCTGTCCCTCTGGTACCACACAGCAGTCGTGAGCCCGTAACTTCCCCTATACCCCTCCAGCTCACACGGGATGCTTTTCAGTCATTTTAACGAAGCATCGTTAACCCCACAGAAAGTACTTATACTCTCTGTGGACCGTGTGCTACCTGTATTATTGGCAGTTATGTACTATCTTTGCTTCACTTTCTTTCCTCACAGCTCAGACATCCCCTCTGCAATCACTCTCCTTCTGCATTAAGAATTCCTGTTCTTGTCCACTGGTGGGACTTTCCCTGGGACAGTCTAAAAATGCCTCTATTTTACTTTTGAAAACTATTCTCTGGACTAGGGTTTCAGATTGGCCATCATTTGATGACGACGTCCCTGCTGGGGCTGTTGTGTTGTTCGTAATGTAGTTTGTGTCTTGTCCCCCTGGATCTAGACCCCGACGGGGCTGCACTGGAACTGGACCTGGCCTCGGTGGCTGCCAGTCTAAGTGAAGAAGCAAAGGCTCTCAGGAGGGGACTGGGGGCTCCCCGCCCTGGGAGCTGTGGCGCTGCACTCCCCCCATGGCCCCACCCATGTGACTGCCAGTCCAGACAGTGCACTTACTCTCCAGAGATCCACAATTTAACACTTTATTTATCACTTTTGACACACAATGTTAATAACAGCGAACACATGAGGAGCAATGTGCAGACAGACATGAGCTGTTTCACTAAAGGTTTACAGGCCAGGCCTTGACAGTGACCTGACAGGTGACTCTGAGCCTCACACTCCACCGGAGGGAGAGCAGGCCCCCCAGCCCCACGGACATCCCTACTGAGTGCAGTTTAGACTTTCCAAGTCAGAACACCCATGACATTGACATCACTGTACCCATCACTCTGATAAAGTGATACACTCAGTACTCTCTAACATGAATGAGACAGTGTAAAAATATATTGCATGTATATATAAATTTATTTCCCTTTCCTGAAAAAAACTTAGTACAAACTAGTAGTATATGATCCCTTTCAAGTTTATTTTTAAGTTGTGTGGGTCTCCTTTGTTTGGCTTGGTTTGCTTTTTCAAAGTCTAAAGGAGGAGAGAGAGTTAACCGAAGCATCTCCAGCACAGTGACCATGGCCTGGCACACCACCACCCTGGCCACACGCCCCACGTGCCCCTTAATGAAGGCCAGGCCCCTGAGCCACCAGATTCACAGAGCATTTAGTGGTAAGTCAGTGAAAGGAAACTATTCAGGGTCATTGTTTTATGGACGTTCTAGCCTATGGGTAATTTCACAGTACAACTAAATTGTCAACCTGGACTGTATTGAACAGGTGACAACAGGGTGTCCCAGTGTGGCGTATGCTGCAGGACAGGGAAGTAGGCAGCTTGTGTATGAGTACCCAGGATGAAATGATCCCAGGTGGGCCCTCGAGAGCTCCCATCAAGGGCCAAATGGTGAATATTTTAGGCTTCATGGGCCATGGAGTCCGTCAACTCCCCACCGCCAGTGTCGCTGCAAGAGCAGCCAGGGACAGCACACAAGCAGGGCGTGGCCTGTGCCGTTAAAACTTGATTCACAGAAACAAGCGATTGTACTGGCTCGTGTCAGGAAGGTGAGCCTCTGCCTGCTGTAGCAGGTGCTGTCCACTGAGAGGGTCAGGTGGCCACGTGGCCTGCCTGGAGCTCGTCCACTGGGACTTGGAGGCCAAGAGCACATATGGGCAGCTAGCGATGCCAGCGGAAGCCGCTGCAGGCCTTCCCCCAGCAGACCGGCACCTGCTCCAATTTTCATCTGTTTCAAAACTCAAGCCCAAGAATATTAAAGGTGTAAAAATACTCCAGTATAAATATATACCTTGCTATAATACTTTAAACTTACGTAATTTTGAACTTCAATTTTGGTAGTTAACTCTGTTCCTGACCACTGCCTAGTTGCGTTAAATAGAAATAAATACGTGTTCTGGTATGATCGGTGTCTTCGAGCGCACGCCTTCTACTGTTCCCTCCTGGTGTTCAGACACCGTCAGCACTGTCCCCCTCAGAATGCATCCTGCCTCCTGGGGTACCTGCTGTGCAGTTTCTTTTGTTCACAGATAGACGCCTAATTTGTACTTAACCATGGTTAGTAGGAGCTGACGGGCGTTGCATACAAACATGCAGCACAGACACACACTCTGCCTACGTGTTCGCAATGTTCAGAACCCAATGAAGGGATGGACATGCATGTGTGTGTGTTTTGTGCAGTGAAGTTGGAGGCCAGGATCGTGGATGTTCAGAGGCTACACACAGATGCAATGAAGCATTCACTGGATGACTTTAAATGGACAGAATGGTGACTCCTAAGTCCTTATGACTTAATTTTACCCCTTCCCCCTCCTCCTCTAACAGAAAGGGGAGCTAGGGTTTTCAGAGCTATACTCTGAGTGGACAAAGGTGTGTCCTGGCCTGTGTGTATGTGTCTGACGAAGCTGGGGGACGGGCAGGGAGCGCAGGGACACCGCAGAACCTCTGTGGCCAGGGAGACCAGGCTCCTGGACCTGGCGTGTCGAGGGAGTGGGGCCCAGGGCACGGCCATGCCTCCTGAGCTCGGCTGGACTGGGACGGGGAGGGCCACCAAGAGAGAGCAGCTGTGTGCACTTGATTTCATTCATAAAACCCAAAGAGCAGCTGCTGCTATCAGGATTAGCAGAGCATTTTGAAATTTTCCTCAGAAGCGGACAAGTAGCTCCACCTATTTCCTCTTATCAAGTAGCTCACCTCCACTGGCCTGAGGTGGGTGGCACCGGTGCTCCACAGGCCGGGCCTGCCTCCTGGGTAGAGGGGGGAGCTCCAGTTCTGGGGTGGGCGCCGTGGGAGGAAGCTGCTGACCGTGGGGGCCGTGGCAGGGCACTCGTCCTGTTTCTTTTGCTTAGACCCAACTTTCCCGGCATGCTCCTGGCAGTTGTGCCCTCAGCTGGGGTCGGAACCTTTGTGTGGTGGCTGTTCTTGCCTGAAGACCATCTGGGGGACAGGAGGCCATGTTCCGGTGTCAGGCACCTCTCTCCAGGGTCCAGCAGGCAAGGAGGGGTGGGAAGGGCTCACGTCCACGGCAGCCCCAGGTGACATTTCTCTCTCTATGGGTTGTGGCATGGGGACCCTGTTCCTCGGCTTTCGCCAGCACGTACGCTGTACCACAGCATGCTGTAGTAACTGACCTTCTGCTGGACTCCCGCGTCTGGGACAACAGGGACTGGGCTCTTCAATGAGCAGGAGAAAAGCAGCCTCAGACCAAGGGGCCCACAGCCCCTGGTGGCGGGCGTTGCTCCTCGGCAGTGCCTCCGGGCCTGGGCAGAAACCCTCTTCTGTGGCCACTGGTGAAAACCCCACAGGCGCTGGAACTAGGGCTGTGACTGACTTGTCAGGAAGCGCTTTGCTTGTCCAGTTGTCTTCTGATGTGTTTCCCACAGGCTGCTCTTACCTTTGGGTTTCACACAAAGGTCCGGCCTGGCGGAGGAGAGGGAGGCCCGGGGTGGGGGTCTGGCATCCTGTCGGCATTTGCCCCAGTCCTTGGCCCTCAGTTTCCCCACCTTGAAGTGGCCTAGCTTGGCAGCTTAGGATCCCTAAGTTAGAAACTTTCCAGGCAATAGTGAGATTAGCCCTAAAAAATGACAGAGCCTGTGCTCCCTTGTCTCTAAGGTTCTAATGCCACATGCTGTGAGCCCCAGAACCCCAGAATGAGACTGCCTGTGAGGGGCCTGGCAGAGACACGGTCGCTTCAGAGGGGCAGTGTCAGCTGGGAGCGCTGGCCCTCAGCCAGCAGTGGGGGCCTTCCCTGGCCCCAGCGGTGACCAGCGAGTATGCCACAGCGGTGCTGGTCCGTGTTTCAACTGCCTGTGCTAGGCCAGGCCAGGTGTCCAGGAAAGGGCTGCAGAGCAAACAGTGGCTGTGGCAGCTAGGTTCCAGGAAGCATTTTCCTCAGGCCGTCGTGTGCTTTTCCACGGACCAGCTCTAGGACCACATGGCCCTCCAGGTCATGGGCCATGCTACAGTTGTGTTTATGCAAATGGAGTGTCACCCCGTGGCTACCGTGAAAGCAAATGCTGTGGGCCTCGGGGGGCCTCCGTGGCCTGGTTTTGTCATGAGGTTTCCTACACTCTGGGGTTGGGAGAGCCCAGAAATGTGGGGATTGACGTCAGAGGCTAGAGCTGCAGAGATTTATGCTGCACTGTGAGCAGAGAGGAAGTAGCCAGGTCGACATGCAGCCTCAAGGCCCCGATTTCAGGGGGACAGGCAGAAGGGGCCTGTCACACACCTGCCTGCAGGGGGGCCTTGGGGCCAACAGGGTCTTGCCACCGGGAGATGCAGAGACGGAGGAGAGAGGCCATAGAAACAGGGTATTCTGAATCTTCCTTGCGCCATTCTGAGAATAAACACAGTCACTTTTTCTTCTTTTCTTTAAAAAGCAAAACAAAATGACCCATCCTTGGTTTCCATTTTAAGAACATGTAACTTCACACTTCAAGTCACTTTCCTTTGGTCTACCGAGGAGCACTCCTTTCCTGGCTCACTTTCCTTTATACACCAGCCTTCGCTTACATGACTGCCCTCAGCACAGACCTGGTCCATAGGCCGGTGTACGCATGTGTGTAAGCAGATGTGTGTGCATGAGTATGTATGCCTATGAGTGCATGAGTGTATGTGTGTGCACGAGTGCGTGTACATGTGCAAGCATGCACTTGTGTGTTGCACACCTGCATGGAGCCCTCGCAGACGCTGCTATGTCCTGTTTGAGGTTTGCCTCATCTCGCTGGTGATGCTGATTAGTGCGTTAGTATGTGTTGCCTGCGTGGCTCCTGGGAGGGTCTGCCGGTCAGGAGGTTAGCACCACCTCCGACAGGGTCTGGGCCACCTGCTCCTTTAAAACATTCCTTTCGCCTGCAAATCAGGTCGCCTGTGTGATCTGGTCCTGGAGACACTTTGAAAATGACCATCCAACATGGGCCGAGGCAGGTGCATTAGACAAAGGTCAGTGAGTTCAGGGGCCACACCTGGGGTAGGAGAGGAGCACGCCGGGGGCACTGGCAGGAGAGAGGCCTGGGAGTCCCCCGCCGCCACCCCGCCCCGGCGTCTTGAGTTCTGCCCCAGTGAGCCCGGGAATGTAAAGAAGTGTGAGGTGATGTGGGGCCAGAAACGGAGGAAGGCCCTGTCCCCAGGGACTGGCTACTTGCCCCCCTGCACCTTCTGGTCGTAGGTGCCTGCGTGCTTGTAGCCTGGCACATAGCCCGACTCGTCCACCAGGTCCACGCGGCCGGCTTTGCCCTTGCCCCTGCCAGACGGGTCGAAGCGCTCCTTGTGGGAGCCTGTGAACTTGCTTGTGTCTGTGAGCCGAGACACAGTGGGCGAGGAGATGGCTTTCTGCAAGAGAGCAGGGAGAGGGGTTAACTGCAGCCGAATCACAGGAAGAAGAATGGGTGTGGCAAGGGGAGCTGGAGAGGGGGGATTTCAACCGAAGGGGCCAAGCCCATGTACAGGGGATGCTAAAGGCTCCTGGAATCCACTTTGGGCTCTCGGTCCGGGGAAGTAGCCTGGGTCAGCCCACACCCAGGGAATGAAGGCTCCCACCCCATCTTTAGGCCACTGCCATCAGTTCCCTAGAACTCACGGCCCTGCTTCCCAAGGGGCTGGCCCACCCTCTGCACTCACCGTCACCCCCGAGATGATGGGGGACTTGCCCTCAATGAGCCTGTGCACCTCTTGGACGGCCTCCTCACTGCTCTTATCCTTGAATCTCTTCTTGGAGAGCTCCTCCAGCGCCTCCTTGAACTGCTCAAACGTGATGGTCCGGCAGGACTTCCCTCTGCAGGGAGAGAGGACTCAGGGGCACTGGCCACTTGCCTCGCTGGGCTGGGACCCAGGGACCTGCTGACATTGGGGGACCCCAGCACTGCCAGGGCACCCACTGATATTGGGGGACCTCAGCACTACCTGGGAACCTGCTGACACTGGGGACCCCAGCCCTGCCTGCGGACTCTACCCCTCCTCTCCCACACCAGAAGGCAAAGCCCGACATTGAAACAGAGCACACCCCTCCCCTGCAGTGTTTACACCCACAGTCAGTCACCATCGGCAACAGCAGCAAATGTAAATTGTGGAAAAAAGCTTAAAGGAAGCACATCCTTTATGAACAGCTGGACATTAAAATAAAGCCGTTGTCTGGTTCTAAATGGGATGTGTGTGGCCTCCAGTCAGGGAAGGACTTTGAAAGAAAAGTTAGGGCGAGAAGCCCATGAGATCTGCACCACGAGGAAGAGGTTCAGAGGCCACTGGAAGCGGTCTGTTGGGTGGTTGCCGTGCAGGGATGAGAGGGAGGCCCCTCCCCAGGACACCCGATGAGGGGAGCCCAGGGCCTCCACCCCGGGGACCCCCGCGGCCCCCGCCCAAAAGCTGCTGGGGCCAGACCAGTGCCAGGCCAGGGGAGCAGAGAGGGCAGGGGCGTCACCCAGACGTGTCTCGGGACAGCGCAGAGTTCCCCAGGGAGGTCAGTTGGGCAGTCCCAACAGGCTCTCACCTGGCTCTTCAGCTTTTGTGATTTTAACTAAAAACATTTTTGCCACTTTCACCGGATCTTCCCCAGGTCAAAATGACAAAACTCTTTTCAACAAAAGCAAAGGCTGTTCAGTGGAGCGAGGACCGCTTTGCAACAGATCAGGCTGGGACGACCAGACACCCACGGGTGGAGTCGTGGCTTCGGTCTGCGCCGTAGTTAACTCAAAGTGGACCAGTCCTGACTTTATTATAAAACCATAAAACTTCTGAAAGAACCTAAGGGAAGATATTATGACCTTTGGTTAGACGAAGATGTCTTAGAAATGATACCGGGAAACAGCCATTAAAAAAGAGATTTGAACTTTAAAATGTATTAAACCTTTTTCTTCAAAAGACACTATAATGCAAAGACAAGTGACAGACTAGGAGAGAAGACTCACAAGACACATCTGACAAAGGACCGTATTGGAAACACTGTGTGTGTGTGTGTGTGTGTGTGTGTGTGTGTGTGTGTGTGTGAAGAACTCCTAAAACAACATGAAGGAGAAATTCAATGTGGAGAACTGGACGGAAGTATTGAGGCAGACACTGTGCCGCAGACTCGTGGACAGATGGCGTCAGTTCCTGGGAAGACACCACCCTCCCGCAGGACCACAAGTGGCCAGATGAACGAGGCGACATCCCCAGTGCTGGGCAGACGCAGGACCGCTGGGGCTCAGACAGCCAGTGGGGACGCAACGTGGCATCCACTGTGGAAGGCGGTTGGGCATTTTCTCAAAGGCCACACCTGTAGCATGACCCTGAGACTCCACATTTAGGTGCTCACTCAAGAGAAATGGAAACGAGCTCACAACTCTCGCCGCTCTACTCACAGTTCTGCTTGTTGTGGCCAAAACCCAGGAACATCCGCAGCAGATACGGGACTCCCTCAAGCTCTGCACATGGACGCACTGACTGACACGTCGCAGCCAGGAGAGAGCTGAATAAAACTCTCTTTAACCGAAGGTGGGGTGCCCAACCTCAGCCCTCCGGGAGGCCATTCAGAAGGAGGGGTGGGGAACGTGTCCCCCGGACACATTCAGAGCCATCTGTCCCAAGGGCATTTGTGCTGACACCCACAGGGCAGGGGCTGGGTAACACGCTGGACCAGGACTTCATTACACCCAGTGTTTGGTGGTGGCTTCTGTCCCTCAAGGCTGAGGGACAGCCACAAATGCACCAGGGTCTGTGGGCACTGAGGCCATTCTGAGCAGTTGCCCTCAGGCTGGGGTGCCTGGAATGATGTAAACACAGCCTCTTTTCTTTCTCTCCACCCTGCTGGGTGGGTAACCTCCGGGCCCCGGGGGAGGCCTGTTTGTCCTGGGCTGTCACAGGCGCTCCTGTCTCCTGTTCACTGCCTGCCCAGGCTGGTGTGTGGACACCAGGCCTGATGGCTGGCCCGGTGGCGGCTGCTAGAACATGCAGCCCTCTCTGGGCCCTGCGGCGCCAGGCACCACCAGTGTGAGTCACTCAGGCCAGGGGTGGGGAGATGGCCCGCAGGGGCTCCTGTCAAAGGGCACAGTCAGATTGGGGTGGATGCCCAGGCCCAGGGCCCTGACTTGCCCACTCCCCCTGGCCCAGCAAGGTGTCCCCCAGTGTCCCCATTGTGACCGATGGATGGGTCTCCCCAGGGGACCCGGTTCCCTGCTGTGGAGAGTCCCCGGCGAGTTCTAGAGTAACAATGCCAGCCCTTCCCCGGAGACACGATCGCATTACGCTGCTCTCCACACACAGACTGAGCCTGTTCTTGAGTGCACACAACGGCGGTGTCCCCACACCGAGGCCCCCCGCCCTGCCCCCACCAGCGCCCTGCTCAGAAGGCTGTTGTTCTGCTGGAAGGCCAGCCCAGCAGTGACGGGGTCACTGCTCACACAAGGCCCCTGCATCCCCTGGGCCTCCAAGGCCCAACTTAGGGCAGGCAGGGACACCAGAGGGCAGCTGGGCCAGCTGCTCCCGAAGGTCACCCAGGGCCACCAGAGGCCAGCCTAGCCTTCCCAGACCTGTCCCTGTGTGCCTGCAGGGCCAACACCACGAAGGCTCCCAGGATGGAGCACTGTGACCTGCGCCCCCCACCCCCAGTCCCCCTCCTTGCCAGCACCTTTGTGAGAGCAAACTGCACACTCCCAGAACCCCCTTGCTGAGAGGCGGCTCCCAGCCTACTGGACCCACTGGCAGGGAGGGTGGGCAGGGGTGATTGCAGGGAGAAGGAGTGTCAGGGAAAGTGCTAGTTCTCCCATGCTCCCCTGACCACCAGCAGCTGGGACCCGGTGACCTGTCCAGAAGGCACTGATGAGGGTTAGAGGGCCACGAGCCTTGGTGACATTCCCATCAACCCCTGGGTCAGTGGGGATGTGGGGGCTCCTGAAGGAGCCAGTCTGGTGGGGATGCACCTCTGGGGGAGTCCTGCCTGGAGGGTTTCTTGCTGTGCTTGCAGAGGGCTCTCCTGGCAGACACTCACCGTCACCCCTGCCCAGGGTGCCCTCTGCTGAGCAGCCCTGCCTGCCTGGGCCGCAGTGAGCACAGAGCCAGCAGTGCAGACCTGGCTGTGGTGGATGATACTTGCTGACAGCCACTCAGTCACAGGTCTGGTTGCTGATGGCCACAACCTGCCTATGGGGCAGCTGTGACTCCTCCCCACCCACCCACACACATGCAGTTACTTCCCCTAAGTGGGAAAAAGCTGCCCTTAATGCTCCTCCTGACTCTGTGTCTGCCCAGTGCAGCTCTGGGATGGCACAGACACGGGGATGGGGCGCCTGGGAGAGCAGAGCCCAAGAGACAGGGTGGAGGCCCCTCGACGCCCCGCCACTGGTTGATCACAACAAGGCCCCCCAGAGAAGCACTCCCCACCATGGCCACCTGGACTCTGGAAGACCCTCAACGTGAAGCAGGAAGTACAGGGAGTGGGTGCACCTTTCTCTCTCTTGCTCTCTCATGCCCCAACCTCACCCTCATCACCCTGAAGGGAGGGGCCGAAGTCAGGAAAGGCCCAGCTCAGGGAACATGGGCCGCCCTCCCCTCCACGGAGCGAGGGCGTGTCAGCCCTCAGGCCCCGGAGCAAAGTCAGGCTGGGGGAGCCTCGGGCCCCTGAGCAGACACTAGCACCAGCCCCAGCCACCCACTGTGACACCGGTGGCGTTTCTCAGGCATCACATCATACTCAGAGCTCTGCCCCTCCACCAGCCCCTCCACAGCACCCCCACCCACCACTGTCCTCTGCTGGGGCTCCTCCTACAGGCTCAGCCTGCTCCAGTGCCGGACACATTCAAGATGGCATCTGGGCTCCAGGCCCATGCTTCTGTGCCGGGCTTCTGCGGCTCAGCCCCCTGGCTCAAGCACCCCTGCTTCACACAGTTCCCACGTGTCCTGGCTGTGATCAGAGCATGTGTGGCAAGAACAGAGCAGCTTTCCAGGTCTTCTGTGACAGGAAGCCCCACCCATCTGCTCCCTCCTAATCTGGGATGCAGACGCCAGACACGAGGGCTTCCGAGCTGTCTCCCCGCACCGGTGTCACAGGACACAAGCTGTTTTCTCTGAGAGCTCACAGCACCCACAAAACAGGTGTGTGTGTGGGTCACGAGAGGCTGCAACAGCAACCCCTGCCCTCTGCCCCCTTTAGCAGGCCGCTCCCCTGCAGGGCCAGGCCCAGTGCCTGACCCGCACATGCAGACACATGCAGGCAGGATGGAAGGAGACATTGCTGTCCACAGCCCCCTAAGTGGTCTATCTGGGTGACACTCCTGCTTGTGCACACGAGGGCCTGGTTAATTAATATTCCAGACTGACTATTGTCTATCCTTTGGGGCGTGGAGGATGCTGGAGTCTTTGTCTAGGTAACAATAGTCTTCAGTCAAGAGTTGGTATAGAGCTGCAAGAAATTTGTTTAAAATTTAACACATAGTAACATCAAAACAAACAGGCACTGCCATGGCGACAGGATCTAAACAAAGGCTGCAGATACCCTGGCTGGCGTCACCGCCTGGAGCCCTGGCAACCGCCCCCAAACAGAAATTGCTGCTCTTCTCCACCAACCAACTCAGCAACTTTGAGGTCCCACGCCCGTCCTGCAGGATCCTACAACCCTGCGCAGAGCATTGTCCACCTTGCCCATCAGAGGGACAAGGGCATGGATCCCTCCTAGTGTCACCCTAGGGTGTCCAGCAAACCACCCAGGCGAGGGGCCCCTGCAGCCACCGCAGGCTGGTCTTCACTGTGTAGTGACCACGGCCCCTCACTGGGCTGCAGCCACAGCTCGCTGTTCCCCCATTTCCACGTTCCCTTCAGTGAGCTGGGGCAGAGACACTGGGGGCCCCCTGGGCTCTGCGGTGAGGATCGCACCAATACCTGGGAGCTGGGGCCATACCTCAGCCCCTAAAGGTCTGAGCAGCTGATGTCCTTCCTCCCAGGACAGGCATGAGGAGCAAATAGGGTCCTTTCTGGTGCCTGCCCACTCCTGTGATACCAGGACCCCCCATGTGGGTGCCAGGGTGCACGTGCCTCCTGTACATAGGGTCTCCGGGCCTGTCCACGGTTCTCATCCTGAATGAGTCACCACCGCACTTGCCATGTCCCCACTGTATGGCTGTGTGCACATGCATGTGAGCGGTGAGCGTGTGCACGCGTGCATACATGTGTGTAGGCATGTTTGTGTAGCCGTGCATGGGCTGTGGGCTCCTGTGTGCCCATGGGTGCACATGCCAGCATGCAGTAGCTTAAAGGCAACTTACTGTGGAAGGAACCAGGGGGGAGGAAACGAATTGCTCCCACCTGCCAACACTTTGCATGCAGGGCCAGTGCCCAGGGTGTGGGGCTCGTGCGCTCCCTGGAGGGCTGACCTGCCCCTGGACACACCATGGATCTGGCCTGCCCCAGCCCTTCTGCAACATTCCCCAACCATCATGGCCCTTGGGGCACCTTTGCTCCTGCATCTGCCCTCTGTCTTTTCTGACACACAGGGGTTACAAAGGCCTGGAGGATCTTACAAAGGCCCAGGGAATGGATTGAAGGGACCGTACTGGGCCTGATCCCAGTCCCCACTCCAACTTTTCCTCCTCCTCCTCCTCACCTGCGCCCACTTCCTTTGCCTCCTCCCCACCGGTGCCCAACCTTCTCCTCACCTGCATCCCGCCTCCTGCTCCTCCTCATCTGTGTCCCCCTCCTCCTTCAGCTCCTGTCCCCACTCTAACCTGGGGCCTCTAACCTGGGGCCTCGAAGAAGCATGGGTGCACAGGACACAGAGAGTCCTGAGATGAAAGATGACAAGGTCATAGCATCACACAACTACAGGGTCGCATAGGCCACAATGGACACGGTCCAGAAATGAGCCAAAATAAAACCATTTCCCAGCAATAAGCATGACCTGGACAGAGATGGCTAGACGTCTGGTGGCCTTGCCGTTAATTCTCTCATGTGTGGCTGTGGGTTGAGGAGGCCAGGAGAATGCTGCCCAGACGAATAGGAGGGGGAATGTGTCACCACTCCTGGGCACGCCCCCAGCATCCAGGAGGAAGGACATGTGCAGGGGCACGTGCTCACAGGTGCATCCACACTCACATGGGCAGCACCATGTCTTCATAGGTGCATGGAGCAGACACATGTGGGCACACACACAGGGAGCACAGGAGCACACCACCCAAGGTCACCGAGTCACAGGTGAAGACACAGGTGATAACTGTGTCCCCCACAGTCATCTTCATGTGACCATTCCCCAAAGCAAAGGGGCAGCAGGCAGGGGCAGGCGAGACGCAGGTCACACCTCAGGGACAGGCTTCACAGTGTCGCCTGTCACACTCAGCCCACAGTGGGCCGGGAATTCTGCCACTGGGACCCCCCACACTCCCGAGGGCAGGGCAGTATATCTCCGCTCCCTGCTCACCCCAAGGCAGCCTGCACCAGCAGACTCTGGACATGAGGCCTGGCTGACCACAGGCCTCTGGGAAGCCAACTCTGCGGTGAGAACGCCCCTGTGCACTTACTTGATTTTGCTGAACACAATGTCCACGTCAGTGACGGTCACGTTCTTCCCGTCGATCACCTGGCAGTCCTTGCACAGTTTCGACCAGTTCTTGCCGTGCATCTCCTTCCCAGTGGCCCTGGTGTCCCCGTGCACCGCAAACCGCCGGAAGGCCTCCTCTAGGGCACTAAGCTCTGGGGCCGTGGCAGCTGCCCCCTCGTTGGCACCTTCTGACTCCAGTGACAGCCTCTTAGCTGCCTTGTCCTTTGCAGGGTCCCCTGGGGACTTGGGCGGTGTCTTGTTGGCGGCCTTGACAGGCTTGGCCTTGCTGTCGGCCATGTTTCTGGCGGAGGAAAGGGAGAAGAAGGGGTTATTCTGTTTCTGTGGGGCGGCTGCCCACAGCCCTTCCAGCTGCCTGCTCACAGGACAGGAGCCTGGCAGGCACCCAAGATGTGGCAGGGCCCCTGGGGCCCCTCAGAGCCCAGCCCAGACATGAGAGGGTAGAACCCCAGCCCAGGTGGCCACAGCAGGATGGTGAGCATTTGTCTCACTGCTGCACACGGCACTTGGCACTGCCCCTCACACACCAGCACCCTGCCAGCTATTGGTAGATTAAGGGCTCCACCCAAGTAGTCAAAGCCACGAGCAATGGCAGGGCCACGGGTGGTGTACCCAGCCCAGCCACCTGCAGGCTCAGGGACCTCTCATCTCCCTGTCACTCCTCCAGCACAGTCTCCTCCCTGGGCCACACCTGCTGGGTGACTCCTCAGGAAGACACTCTTCCAGGGGTCCAGGGAGTGACGCCATCTTTGGGGAGGAGGGTATCCAGAATCAGCTGCTACTCTCACATCGGGGCTGAGCCTGCTGCCCTTGATCGAGTGGGAGAGAGAGACCCTGAGGCATCTGCCCAGGAACCCAAGGGCCGACTGCAGCTGTGCCCCCGGTGCAGGGTGGGGCGCCACAGGCATTGGAGGGAGGTTGCCACTGGGGACCCCATGTGGCGAGCTCAGGGGGCCTGTCCCGGCCTGCCCATGAGTCTCTGCCCCTGTGAGGTGCCTGATCCCCAGAGTTGGGCTGGGTCCCTGGGGGCCCAGGAGCCAGGAGCCCGTGCTGCCTCTGTCAGGTTTCAGGAGCACAGAACGCCAATGCCTCCCCCACGTCTGCAGCCACGCAGCCTTCCACTGCCGCACTGCTGGTGGCCAGGGCAAGAGATGCACAGCCCCAGGGTCAGATCCCTGTGGGTCCTTCAGAAGCAGCTTCCTAGAGCAGTGCAGCCCTGGAGCTCACCTCTGTCTCTGCCTCGCTGAGAACAGACACCGCCAGGGGCCCAGTGAGGGGACAGAACTCAGGACCCACTGGTACACAATGCAAAATCCAGGTGACAGTCTGTGCCATGAATAGCAAGCTCACTCACAACGCTGCTGCGTACTGAAAATCCCCTTCAAATCTGCACTCGCAACGCTGGTTACACAGAGGAAGATGGGCAACCTGGCATCGTGGGGGGTCCTGGTGGCCCTGCTGAACCCAAGATCCTACAAATTCCCAACAAGTAAAAGTCAAATGCCCTCAATCATTGGACTGAACGTTCTCAGGGCCTCATGGGCCCTGTCCTCGTCCTCTGTGACGATGCAAAAGGTACATCTGCTTCTACAGGAAATCCCAGACACTCAGAGGCAGGGCGCAGCCAGCTCTGGACGAGAATGAGAGTTGGATCCACACACCTGGCTTCCTGCAGGGTGCAGGTGTGGAGCAGGGAGTGCTATCTCTCCAAGGGACCCAGCACCAAGGTGAAGAGGAGTCAGGTGTCGGCAGAATCGCTTTCAGGTTTATTGCTGACACCATTTCTTTGTCTGAAAAAGGATCTTGTTTCAGGATCGGCTGAGTGTGTTTACATGGCATCTCTTCAGCCCTCGGTGCCCAGGAAGGAAAAGTAGCTAAGAAGTTACTAGGAGCATGAGCCGATTTTGGAGAATGTGCATGTCTGTTCAACTTGGTCAAGAAGAAGGAAACCTCTTATGATGCTTCCAACTCAGTGCAGGTTCCGTTGCCCAGGAAACAGCATCTCATGAGAGGAAAATACCTGAGTGACATCAGGGATGGCTGTCCAGGGTGTCAGAACTATGGGTCATCCTTCTTGTGCTTTTCTGTGTTTTGCAGATTTCCTAGAAGCACTATTTTATAGCAAGGCGGGGCTCCTCCCCAAGGCTTTGTCAGCGTCGGGCTGAGCGAGCACTCTGGGGGAACCACAGCAAGACTCACTGCCGGGAGGTCTGCCCCACAGTCCAGTAAAGGACTGAACAAGACGTGAAAAAGTTCTGTTGTCATGAGCTTTACCTTCCAACTGGACACAGGCAATAAACAAGTAAACAAACAGGGAAATGGGATGGCTTCGAGCAGTAAGAGGTGCACCGGGGAGAAATTAAGGCAGGTAAGATGGCAGTTAGTGTCCATTTAGACAGGTTGCAGGGGAAGCACGAGGGGAGCCTGGAGCCACACAAAGGCACTGGCATGGGGGCTGCTCTGCATGCAGCGTCTCCACCAGTGCTGCCCTGACTCCCACTGAAACCCCCCATGTCGGTGAGTGGGTGGAAGGGGAAAGAGCGGAGAAAATTCGGTCAGGCTGCATTGGTCTGTCTGCTGTCCTGGGCACCGGGAGAAAAGGGACCGTGCATTAAATGTTGTGAAGAAAAACCCTTCCAACCAGGACTTCTATACCCACACCATGGCCCCAAGGGGCCAGGAGCTGAAGATGGGGGCAGACGGACACGCTCGGTGGCTCTGACACACTTTTCAAGCAGCTTGTAGATCAGGAACCTTCAGCTAACCTTGGAGAGGGTGCAGGAGGCCCCGAGTCCACAGGCAGCCCTGGAAGGGGAACGCGGGGAGAAGTTCGGGAAGAGCGGACGGACAGGGACATGAAGGCCAGGAAAAGTCTAGGAAGTGAACAGGAGACCTGCAAGCAGAAGCCCTCTAAACTCAGCCCCGGGGGGCGGCTGGCCAGGGATCTGTCTCTAGCAGGCAGCTGGCGGCTTCAACCTTGGACGTTTCCTTCTGGAGCTGTGTGCTGGAGCGGCGGGCCTCTCCTGTCAGCACTGTGCCAGGGCGGCTTCTGGGTGTGTTCATGGGTTTTCACTTAGTCTGTTCTCAGAGATGTTCAAGGTGATGGCAGAGAGAAGACCTGGAGTAATGACCCAGGTGGGAGGGGGGTGGAGCAGGGCATCCCCTCCCTGCCCCCCCCCACCCTTGCCAACCAGTCTGTGACCTTGAAGCTGCACAGGTGATGCAGCCACAAGAGCCAGAACACAGCTCTCTGTTCTGGGTTTCCACTTTATTTTACTATGAACATGCATTATCATAATAAAATATTTTTAACAAAAATAACAGAAAGAGTTAGACCCCTGTGCACATAGAGGGAGATGTCTAAGACTACCGTTGGTTGTGTGGAGAGGCAGGACGTGGAAGAGCAGAAACCACACACCCCACTCTGGACAGACAGACAATGGGAACGAGAGAGATGGGTCGGCACTGCCAGGATGACTGCGGGCAGCTGGGGCTGAGGGGAGGGGTCACGTGCTTCTGTTGTTTGAATTGCTCCAAAAAATCCATGCACTGGTCCCACAAGGATATAATAGCAATAAATTCAATTTAAAAGAAGCTGAGGGCTCCAGCAGAGGTATGACGGAGAGGTCCTCTGTGCGAGTGACAGCCTGCACGCAGGGCCTCCCTCTCAGCGCCGGCCTCCAGCCCCTGGCCCACCTGGCTTCTCTCCCCCAATGGAGGCTGTGGTTCCCCACTCTCATGGTTTCTGGGGGTGCAGTGGGGACCCCATGGTGGCCTTCCATACCCATTCCCACCTGTGCCACCCTCTTCCCACCATGACAAAAAATAGTCACTTAGAGGAAGAGCATGCCAGGAAGTGAAAATGCCAACCCACCAAATGCAGCATTCTCTGGGGTGTGGCCTGTATTCTTGGGTGTATACTGTGTTTCCACAGCAAATCGTGACCTCTACACCCCCAGGTGTGTGCTCTGCATCTCCAGGTGTGTGCCCTGCATCCCCAGGAGAGCTGATCCCTCGCTGGCCAAGACTCCCCATACAGGGCACAGGTCAGCATACGGGAGGAGTGGAGACTGATCAGGTACGATCAGGTGTCACTCCAACTGGCTGCAGCAACGGCAGCCTGGATGCCCAGCAGGCTGTCCCTGCTCCCTCAATGCAGGATTTTCAGCAGCTCAGGAAAGCCCCAGTGAACAAAGTTCTCTGATTTATTTCACGGTCCAGGACCTCTGCCTCCGTGTGAAAACCCAGTCTGTCCCCTGACCCTCGCCCATCTGCTTCCCTGGACAGACCCCTGACTCTGAGGTGTGTACATGCTTTCGGGGGAGGGTACAGAGGGAGGAGAAAGAATGCACGGAGAGGCAGGGAGGCAGGCAGATGGGGAAGTGGCACCTGCCTTTCTAGCCAGGAGCTGGGCTCTCTTAGGACCCTTCTCCTGCTGGCCTCAGGGGTCCTTGGGCAAGAGAATAACTGTATCCCTTGCCCTGACTGGGCCAAGGCCCTCAACAGCTCTGGGCTCCCACGGTGTCAAACAGGACCAGGGAAGGCAGGGAGAGCAGGAGGTGAGCGGAGGAAGCATGTCCAGTTCCATGTGAGCCATCAGCCTCCGCCAGGTCCTGCCTGAGTCAGGGCAGGTACTGCCCTGGAGGGTGGGGAGGGAATGGATGAAGCACTCACACTGGCTGTGGAGATGGGCTGTGTTGCTGGATTTGCATTTTCAAAGGAGGGTTTGGAGAGGGCAGGGCAGTCAAAAGGTGGAATTACAGACCACAGTGGCTGGAGATGCAGGCAGGTGCTCAGGAAATTGTCAGATAAAAGCCACTGGTCAGGTGGCCTCATCCAAACTTGGGGACACTTGCCCCTCAAGTGTCCAGGGACTATCCCACCAGTGGGTTGGGGCTGTCTCTCAGATACCACATGGTCTTCCTGGCCCAACCCCCCTCCCCTCACAGGCTACAGATGCTCCAATGATGGGCCATGACAGGGCCCTGCTTCCAGAACAAACTGGGCTGCATTTCAGAATGACTCTTCCTGGAAACCTGCTTAAGACTTGACAGCCTGAGGCAAAACCTAGGACAGACCCCAACAGGTGGCAGTCACAATTGCCACATGACATCAGCACACAGTGCCCCAACCAGGAGGAATGAAAATTCATGTTAATGACATGCCTGCAATGGAGCCAGGTGACTGTGAGCAGGAGCAGGTGTGTCTGTGAGTAGAGACAGGGGTTCCTGTGAACAAGACCAGGTATGTCTGTGAGCAAGGCCAGGAGTCTGTGACCAGGGCCAGGTGTGTCTGTGACCAGGGCCAGGAGTCTGTGAGCAGGGCCAGGTGTGTCTGTGAACAAGACCAGGTGTGTCTGTGAGCAGGGCCAGGTGTGTCTGTGAGCAGGGCCAGGTGTGTCTGTGAGCAGGGCCAGGAGTGTCTGTGACCAGGGCCAGGTGTGTCTGTGAGCAGGGCCAGGAGTGTCTGTGAGCAGGGCCACATGCCCGTGAGCTGGGGCAGGTGTGGTTTTAAAGACAGCAGCAACAGCAACTGTGTGCTCTCTTCGGTTCCCCTTCCCGGACAGGAGGTGGTTGTGCCCTGAATGGAAAGATGGGTGTGTGCCTGCTTTCTCAGGTGTGAATCACCTTCACTCTTGAGCTCCTCCAAGCACACGCTCAGCAACTCATTCCTAATGCCCGTCAGTTCCCTTGTCCCGTCCCCGGTCTACGCCCTCCCTGCTGGCGCTTCCTGAGATCTGACCTGGCCGGTGGGGCTGACTATCTTGCCTCTGGTAACCAGCTGCCCTTCAGCCCCCAAGGCCCCTCACAGCCTGTGGCTCTCTCCTATCTACCCTGCATCCTCTAGTGCCACTGTCTGGGGCATGCCGGGCACTACCAAGCTGGCTGACACGCTGTCCTCCCCCAGTGGGTGCTGGATGCACCAAAATGTCTGAGCCTTGCTTGAGTGACAGCCTGCAGACAAGCAGCACTGACACTGGAGTGGGCAGCCAGAGACAGCGTGCAGAGTGGGCAGTGTGCAGGCAGCAGGATGCATGTGGCTGGGACCCGGGACCTGCTGCAGGGTTCCAGAGCTCACCCAGGACCATCCACCCCATCTCAGACCCCCATTGCCCTCCCTGGGGGCTGTGCAAGACCCCCCTGGCTCCTGTGCCAGGGAACACCTGCTTCAGAGCGGCGGCACCAACAGCCTCCCTGGGACCCCCTGGGAACGGCTGGGCCCCACCAGCCTCTCCTGCCCAGCAGCGTCCCCTGCCTGCCAACCTGCTCTGGGTGCTGCCCTCAGACTCCCCTGGGAGGCCTGCAGAGAGAGGCCCTGCGGCCCACGGCCCCTTCCCAAGAGGACGCCCACAGCGGGCAGCCACTTGCGTCCCCAGCTCTTCCAAACTGCTGGAAACGCAGCCCTCACCCTTGAGGGGGACACGGCCCCACCGCCCACTCCCGAGCAGTCTGGGCCTGCAGCGTGCAGTGGAAAGCAGACACCTGAGCACCAGCGGTCAGGGACCCGCTCTTCGGAGGAACGTTCTGCAACCAGGATGGCCTGGATGCCACCAACACACGGGGAACATTCTTTGCCAAATAACCAGGTGGGGGTGACTGGCTCTGGTGAGACACCCCACAGTCTTAACTCCAGAACCTCCTGGTGTAACTAAGGTTATGCAGAAAGCCCTGTGGGAGAATTCCCCTTTTAAAGAGAAGAGGACCCTCATGGGTCAGACACCTGTGGGCCTGGATGGGGAGCCACGCCTGCTGAGCTCCCGAGGAGGCCGCCGGGCCTCCACTGCAGCTGCTCCCAGCAGTGGCTCTGCCGTCTAAATGCAGGGTCTCACTTGAGCTCTTGTCCTTAACCTCTTCCTCGAAAGGCACAGACCCAATGCCCTCAGGTGGGCTGGAGTCCCCTGGGACGCATGTGTCGCAAGCTGGAATGGGAAATGGGCGGGCGGGTCCCACCGTGCTCTGTGGGGGGAATAGGGTGTGTCTCCTGGGCTGGGGACAAATGCCGCCACAGGTCCCGAAGGTGGAAAGGGCTCCCAGGAGAGTGTGCAGCAGAAGGAAGCCACCCGGGCTCCTGGAGCTCCCGCCAGGCGTCCCTGGTCCTCCGCCCCACAGGCTTCAGAGGGTGGGTGTGATGCCACCAGAATCCTCCGAATCTTTACATCCACTAGGGGTCAGAGGTACTGCCCACCACTAGGGCTAGGACCAGAGCCCCTGGATGGCCATCGGGCCCACTGATACCTCGCAAGCCCTGGAAAAGCGAGCACTCCTGAGGGTCACTTACACTGAGCCCTGCTGAGACCTCAGTGGAGTGCCTGACACCTGCAGGGGTGACAGTAGCCAGGGAGCAGCTGTGGAGATGAGAGCTGAGCTAAGGGCCCCTGAGTGGGGAGGTGGGGTTCTGGGTACAGGAAGTTCCTCCTCAGACACTGCTGGACTCTCTAAGACAACCTGGGGGCTCCAAACGATGTGTGCGGAAGGGGAGAAAGAAAGGTAGGGAGAGAGCTTGTGCCCCCTCAGAGGTCTCCGTGGAAGGGGGTCCTGGAACCCCAGGACCCACCAAGGACCAGGGAAGGACCCTTTGGGAATGGTCCTTGGGCTCCCTTAGGGCCTGGTCCCAGGACACTGACCAAGAGGGAAAGAGAATTGCGGGGGATAATGGCAAGAGCCCCAGTAAATCCCAAACACAGCGGCCCTAGAGACAGCAAGGGAAGCTTAGGCCTGGTCAGATGGCCCAGGGACAGCCTTCTGCTCAGTGAGGCAACCTGCTGGGCTCGCAGAGGTCCTGACCACCAGCAAATGTCCTGACCACCACCGAATG